AGTTCATGAGATAAATTATGAAACTACCTGAAAGTACAGATATTTATTTTGTTCACTGCTAAGACCATGGTTGGCACATAATGGGCACTCAATAAATATTTGTTGAATTGAATTAATCTTTCCTAATTAACTATGGCTTTTTCAGCCTGATGGTTTTAATACCGTTAGTAACCTCCTTGCTGTTAGGCTAAGAAACCAAGACCCCAAAGGGGTTACATGCCTAAGGCAAGATGACACAATTGGTAACAGAACTAGACTAATTTGGATCTTGCTATTTTCATCACTAGACTTCTTAGTAAAGCACACTGAAACTTATCTATTGCCATTTGGAATGCAATTCACAAAACTATCACTGAAGCTGCACGTGAACAGAGCTTAACACATCGGCATGGTCCGGTTCCAAGGCGATTGCACTTTTATAGGTACATATTGCTTGAACTTAACATAAATTTTTATTGCTTTTATTTTTTTAATATAGTTAATAAAAAACAGAAGCAGCTGGGTCTCTTAAAGAAAATAACATTTTGGAATAAAGCCTTTCAACTAAGACTTCCAATTGCAAACCATATTTCTAAGAAAGTGCTAATTCAGTTTCTGTTTTGTCAACTAACTGGGACTCTAAAGTTGAGGACATACAGAAGGAAATCTAAGGATAAAACTTCTAACCTCGCCTACAGTTGCCAATTTTAAAAAGTTCTGGAGGACTAAGATACATGTATGCACATGAATATGTATGCAAATGCGTGAGCCTGCATGTGGGACTAGTTTTGTTACACTCCTTTACAATTAAATTGGGGAATGCTAAATGGAATAGGCTTTACACTTAAGTATTATATGAAAACTGTCTTCAGAAAGTCAAGACCACAGTGCCTAAAACAGGAGAGCTAAGGAAAATGGCTAGCTTTAAAAAAATTAATTTAGCTATCACAAATAAAAATGTTTCCCTTAAAGAAGAGAAGAAGTGGCATCTAGAGAAAAGTAAAAGGCAGCATATAGAGCTTTTTCATGAGCTCTGGATTAAAGGGTCATGTGTAGAAGGCAGAAAGAACAGGTTAATCAGAATACATAACACTTGCCTCAGGTAACATTTTCCCCCCATTCCTAACCTCTCTCTCTCTCTTCCTTACCTCCTGCAAGTTGTACTAAACTGGCCCAGGAAAGTTTGTCTTCCTTCCCCTATCACCCTCATCCTTTTCCTCTCTTCATTTCATTTTTTTTAAAATTTTTTTTAAATATGTTTTTATTGATTTCAGAGAGGAAAGGAGAGGGAGAGAGAAATAGAAACATCAATGATTAGAGAGAATCACTAATCGTCTGCCTACTGCACGCCCCCTACTGGGGATCGAGCCTGCAACCCAGGCATGTGCCCTTGACTGGCATTGAACCCGGGGGCCCTTTAGTCCACAGTCCAACACTCTATCCACTGAGTAAACCAGCAAGGGCTCCTCTCTTCATTTCTTTACCCATTGTCCCAACTTAAATTCAAAATGATAATGAGCACAGATCGGTGCTCTATATTAATAAATAGAGTATTAGTTCTGTAATAAAAATAGGCATAAAAAAATACCATCACCTTCTAAGGATCTGAAAGTTGCCGGCAGTCCCTTTTAGAATCTCCACCATCTTCATGAACTCCTCATTCTCCTCTAACTAAACCTGTTTATCCTGGTGAGTAAACCAATTCTATCTTAATGTTTTCAATATATTCGAATACTAGAAATCTAACACCATTTGTTTTGTCCCATTTTAGCCATCCTGTGAATTAGCTGGGCTCTTCTAGGCAACCAAAGAATCAAACTGCCCTAGCTGGTTTGGCTCAGTGGCTAGAGCATCAGCTTGCAGACTGAAGGGTCCTAAGTTCGATTCTTGTCAAGGGCACATGCTCGGGTTGTGGGCTCGATCCCCAGTAGGGGGTGTGCAGGAGGCAGCCGATCAATGATTCACTCTCATCATTGATGTTTCTTTTTCTCTCTCTCCCTCTCCCTTCCTCTCTGAAATCAGTGTGTGTGTGTGTGTGTGTGTGTGTGTGTGTGTGTGTGTGTCCATGGCGGAGCAAATAGCACTGGCTGCGTCTCCATGGCCCCTCGCCTCTCCGGGACACCGGGGCTTCGCTTCCCCCAATGCTGGCGAGCAGCTGTGCGATGGAGCCTCCCTCACTTTCTGAAGGTTGCAAGGCCGTGCCGCCTCTCCCCGTAGGGTCTGGTACCTCTTGATCCCGCCCGAACCAGCTCAGTGGATTTGAGAGTTTGTCAAAAGGCGTTTCCTCTTGTGCCTCTGGCACAGCCAGGATGGGGATGTAAATTGAGTAGGGCGGGTTCTCAGGGAGTTGTCGGGGCGGAGTCTCAGCGGCCCCTCGCCTATCCAGGACACCGGGACTTTGCGTCCCCCAGTGCCGAGAGCCTCCCTTGCTTTCTGACCGCTGGAAGACCCTGCCGTCTCTCCCCGTGGGGCCTGGGGCCTCAGAGACCCGCCCGAACCAGCTCAGTGGATTTGAGAGTTTGTAAAAGCACAG